AAGCATGTAGTTTCCAAGACTCCCTTGCAGACTTTCCAACATGCTCAGGTTGCAGAGACAAAAATGAAAGAACGAGATCATCCGAAATTCGGAATTTTTAAGCAAAAATTCTAAAATTTTAGGAACTCTGCGATAAAGTCCAGAACAGCAATCATCCTAAGTTTTCTAGTATTTTATTACTGAATGAGTCAAATTTGTGCTGATCGAGCTCTTCTTTCAGAAGTTACGATTTTTTGAAAAAAATGCCGAAAAATCGATTTCTTAAGAATTCTAAGGAAATTGATTTTTTGGCGTTTTTCTTCAAAAAATCATAACTTTTGAAAAAACGGCTCGATCAGCACAAACTTAACTCAGATAGTAATCAAATGTAAGAAAAATTAGGATAATGGCTTTTCTGGATTTTATCGCACTGTTTCTGATTCTTTAGAACTGTTGCTTAAAAATTCCGAATTTCGGATGATCTCCTTCTTTCATTGTTATCTCTGCAACTGTGCATGTTGGAAAATCATGAGGGTAGATTTGGAAACTACATGCTTTACGCCTTCTGACTGAATTTGAATTGCGCAAAACCGTCGTAGGGAAAGAAGTTACGATTTCTTGAAATTGCTGCGACAGTTCAACCTAATATATTAGGTTGATGCATAATTCCTGCACCAAAATACAGACCACAATAATCCGGAACAAAGCTATATCTTGATTAGGATCCGATGTATCATTAGATAGAGCAAACCTAGCTCTACAAGATAGCGCTCAAATATCTGCACCAGCTTTGATCCACGCGAAGTTTTGAGCCGAAAACTGAAAAAAATCATGCATTCGAAAACCGCATTCTTTACGCTTTCAGAAAAATTTGGATTGCGCAAAATTGTGGTTAGGGAAAGAAGTTATGATTTTCTGAAAATGGTGCGACAGAACTTTCGGTTCAATCTAATATTAGGTGGGTCTGAAAGTTCTGTTGTTTTATTTTCAAAAATTTGTAACTTCGCGAAATTTCAACGGATTTGCTTGCATTTAATTTTATTGGTAAGCAAAAGTCTTTCACTTTCAAAAGCTCTTTTGAAAAGCCTCGGTTTCGCACTGAATGCAGAAACAAAAATGGAAAAGTAGGACCATATAAGCTTTGACCATTTTAAGTTAAGTCAGCAAAAACCTGGAACGCTACAAAAAAATCTGAAATTGTCAGTACATATGTTTTTTGGCTTACTCTTTGCAATTGTGAAGAGTTTATGCTGTTTGAATGTTTCTGGTGGAAGTTATGAGTAGCGAGTTTACTGTGGAAAACGCCAAAATTAATTAATTTGTCAATTTTCGCGAAAATCATAACTTCTCACAGAGACGTCCAAACAGCAAAATTTCTTCACAGTTGCAAAGAGTAGGCCAAAAAACATAGGTACTGACGATTTCAGATTTTTTTGCAGCTTTCCAGATTTTTGGTGACCTAACTTAAAATGGCCAAACTTATATGGTCTTACTTTTTCATTTTTATCTCTACAATCAGTGCGAAACAGCCAAGTCCGCCAAAACAGCGTTTGAAAGTGAAATACTTTTTTTTTCTAACAAAATTAAACGCAAGCAAATCCGTTGAAATTTCGCGAAGTTACAAATTTTTGAAAGTGAAACGACTTTCGGACCCACCTAATAAATATATTACGTTGGCCCGAAAGTTCTTTCGCAACAAATTTAAAAAATCATAACTCCTGATTTTTCCATCCAATGACTGCTTTTATTTTTCTGTGGAAGAGTAAGTCATGCCCTTTATAATGACATCTTATTTACTAATGATGTCTGTTGCATAAATAGAAGCGATAGAAGAAAATTACTCAAAATTCGAATTTCCTGTGTAGGGTCATAAAAAATCGGAGACTTGCAACAAAAATCGGATCAGTCGGTATTGTAGGTTCTGTCACCAGCTCTTTCTAACAGTGCAAAGTTTGCGCCGATTGGGCGTCTTTATGAAAAGATATGATTTTTTGAAAAATGCCAAAATATATAATATATTGTCGAAAATCATAACTTTTCATAGAGACGCTCAATCGGCGCAAACTTTGCACTGTTAGAAAGAGCTGGTGAAAGAACCTACAACACCGACTGCTCCGATTTTTGTTGCATGTTTCAGATTTTTTATGACCCTACACAGAACTCAAAATTTGAGTAATTTTCTTCTACCGCTTCTATCTATCCAACAGATGAACACTGGTAAGTAGCTAAGATAGGTTATTGCAAGAGTGATGTCCGTTTTGAAAATTTTTAATTTGGAAGGCTATAACTTCGTTCAGTCCTCATTTTTTCGAATGCAGTCAAGACCTCTAAAAACAGCAAACCTTTCGTAAACCATGCTTTAGAAAAATGAAAGTTTTTCTTTCAAAAACTCGTTTTCAAGAACTTACAACTACCTTCAAGCTTTATCCTTATAGCTGCTAATCAGCTTATATCGTAGCCGCAGGGCATACCATACACGTGTATAGAAAAGATTGCAACGAAGGAGTTCTGGGAAAAGAAAAGATAGAAATTCAAAAATGTTCACTTTTTTGAGCCTACTTGTTGTAGGCTTGTAAGTGTCAAATTACGAAAATTTGGAATTCTTCGTGTACTGAATAGCTAAGTTTCTCTTCAAATATTGTAGTAAAGGTGTGCTAAACTCAAGCTCAGGCAGGAATTAATTGCGAAAAATTTCTGACCCATAGAATGGCAGCAGCAAGTATCTATTTCGAGACGTCAATTTCTCAGTCCAGACATCTCCAAAAATCTATATAAGCACGCCGTAGGTAAAAAGTCTTCATCCAATACAATTGCTATGTTTTCAGAAGAATTCGTTCATTTACTTTTGAATTGTGTTCAAGAAAGTGAAAGCTATGAGATTCTGATTTGGAGTGTGGGTTGGAAAATGCTTGTGAAATTCCCACAGATGAGATAGCAGCTTAGTTCTACCATCGTTAGAAAGCACATGAAGAGAGCTTTCCAAGGATATACAGATTCTTATCGAAAAAGAAAGTTTGATGGAACAAAGTTGTTTAAAATATAGGCCTAAAAAACGGACACATTATTTTTGCAACAACCTTATATCATTGAAAAGAACACGATTTACCCTTTCACATAAAAATAAAAGCTGTTGAATCGGTTGGAAAAATAAAAAGTTGTAAATTTTTGAATTTGGCGAATATATACATGTATCGTAGGGTTTCGCTAACTCCTGCGGAGATCTATGAACAGAGCCTAATTCTCGTCGACTCTGGTATTTCTCCTCTGCTCGTCTGCGTCACCGCGCATTGCACACTACTCTAAACGCGGGACATGGGCATTTAACTCTGGTACCCTTTTCTTCGTGTTTTAAACACAAGTCAAACTGTTTATCACATGGAAGTTCTTGATTTCTATGTTCACTCTGACAACGTCGCAAAACCTCATTTTTTGATTTAAACGATAAATCTGGCAATAACCCTGTTTTTGTTTGCTTCCACATTATGATGAACGCTTGAAAACACTTGGTTTTGAATACCTCTCATACCGTAGAGTTATTCACGATCTCGTTCTTGCATTTAGGATTTACAGGGGAGAAACTAAACTGAGTCCTTCCAAGTATTGAGTATTCAAGCCTAATCATGGAAGGACTAGCGGATTTTCTATTCATCTATCAACAAGCGGTGGGCGAAATCAGTTTTGCACGTCATTAGAAAATGATTTTTGTTCGTGCATTGAAGATGCTGGAAAAAATACAAAAAGAGTTCTTAGCATGCGAAAATATCATATCATTCAAACGTGAAATCAAAAAACGAAACTTGAATAATTTCTTTCTTTGCGGGTAGAGCTACTCTTCATTGCTAGATGCTCATATCGCCAGTCACATGCTTTCTGACTTCCCGTCGCGCATGCGTCCGACAATCTTTAGTTTATGTCTACTTTGCTAGATTTGTTTTTCTATAACTCACATTTTTACCACATAGTTTCGAGCCCAGCCCACCTACTACCATACACTAGTTTGCTACAGCCTACCAACATAGACTGATGCTTGTCCGATTTACAGTATCTTTCAAATTTTCTTGGAGCTTTTTACCCTCCCCAGCAAACTGTGTTGGGCGGGCTGCCAGTATACCCGCCGAACTGCCGGACCTCCGGTTTGCTATAATGAAATCACAATAGGATCGTTCTTTGTTAGCAAACGAGGGGGCATGGGTATTTCTCCAGAGAGTTTCTCCATAGAGTTCATGCAAGCGCAAGCACTGTTAATTTGTACGCGCTTACACAAGCTGCTTCTACACAATTTTCTTCACCTAAGCTTAGTTTGGACTTGGAAAGATGTGGCGAAATGTTCGTTATTGTTGTGCTCCATGTACGACTAACACATTTTTGTCAATGTTTTGGAACGCCTAAATCGCCTAAACGTATCTAATGAGAATGAAAATGAAGCAGAGTTTGCTTCTGTCTATAATGCACACAAACGTCGCAGAGCTTACTTCTTTCACTGTGGTAATTGTGAAAAGCTTGTTGGAGTCACTAAGCAATCATTTCTTTCACGTCTGGGCCATCTTGCTCACAATTATGAGCAGATCGAAGCTGACAACGTCGCCAGGAACTGAAACTACGATGAGGAGGCGAAAAGTCATGGTCGGATCAAAAACTAGCTTGATTTTCACGTCGACTTGGCCTCCCCCCACTCCCGTGTTGTGTGTAGCATGGTCCTAGACCAAAAACTTGCAATTTGACAGTCACCAAATGAAAGATTTCAAATCCATTCAAGCGTTTTTATCTGTTTTCTAAAAGTCTCTCTTGTTTTTTGTAATTGTTTTACATCTATTTTTCATTTCTGATTTTCTATAATAGCCTTCATTTTTTACGGGAAGCAGCAAACAACCTTCACTTTTGAGGCCCTATCTCAAAACTATGGAAGGTATGACCGTCAGCATAAGAAAAAGGCCTTAGTATCGTTTTCATATTGCATTATTGACAAGATCCATGAAGAAAGGGAAAATTTTCAGTTGCTATTTTGAAAATGAAAATTTTAGACTCTTGTCATTGAGAGGATCATGGAAAGGTTCCATGCACTCCACGAGAACCCGAGTAAAGAGGTGGTCGTAAACGAAGAAATCCGTTCTATCAACTGAAACTGAGCTGCTTTTTAGGTCGCCACCATATCGATGGAATCTTTCTACAAAGAGCTGAATGAAGAAGATCGTGCGCGCGTCGAGCGCGGGGAATACGACTTTGATCACCCCTGTAAGTAGAGGCTTTTTTCTCTGGTTCATTGTTGAAACTTCAACCGGATTCCAATAGTTAGTCAAAAATAAACTTTGTTTATCTTGCAATCAGCTTGCTTACCCGGCTTCGCTCGGCCCTGTCAAAACACTGTAATGAAGGTCCCATCCCTATCCCTGTAATGGCTCAATGTGCCCACTTCTACACTTCATTTCCCGTTCCCTGTGTTGTTTTCAAAATCAGCATGCCCACTTACCCCCCTGTGCCAACTCCCAGCCCCATAGCTCAGACTTTGTAAAAAATCAATAAATTCGATAAAACGACATCTATCGATGACGAAAAGTAGCCTATGACACCCGCCCGGCCCCGAAGTGTATGTGTGCCAAGTTTGGTTCAAATCGGTTAAAAATAAAAAGTTCTATTTTGCACATACGTACAGACATAGATACAGACATACAAACACACATTCAGCTTTATAATATTATGTCACGTATCAAAACCAGAGATAAAGAAAGCCCTTATTGAGATAATTTATGAGAAACGCGACAAAGAGCTGCACCAAGCTAAAAGTCCTAGTGTACAATCTGATATGATTAGTCGACATTGGACGCTATGTTTCCATGTGTTTCCATCGCAAGAATTCTCTGAGCAATTTGAAAAATGTAGTAAAGTCATCCCGAGTGCGAAACCTCTGTAAGTGTGCAGCTGAGTGGGGCACAAACAGGACACCAAGTTCTTGAGTGTCTTAATGACTGAAGGCACCAAAACCAAAAGCATTATTGCGACAATCTTATATAGAAAGCTGAATGTTTGTTTGTCTGTCTGTCAATGTATATGCCTGTATTAGGTTGGCACATAAGTTTTGCAACTTTTCCCGTAACTTTTTTCCTATTCTATATAGCAATCTCATTTTGTGGCATCATGTAGACCGTGATGTAAGCTACAAGTCTGCGCAAACCGTTTGATTTTTGATAACTTAGTACAAAAAATCTAAGCATTTTTTGAAAACTGCTGAAAATCGAGGTTTCACGATTCTTTGGCAAACACGAAGGTCTAGGAAACCTGATTCAAACATATGAAAAAGCAATATAGGCAGCAGGTAGCTCGAAGTTGGCACATTGGAATTAGTAAAAAAGAAATGAAATTCAAACACAAATTAAGGTGGGACGCCTTTGAGAGGTTGAACAAGTCAAATGCGTCAAGTTTTGAAGGCAATTTGTCAATAACTAAGCTGCGAAAAGTCAGAATTCGCTATAACTTTGCATTACAGGGTAATCCTATGCGGTAAACACGAATATCATATTCATTTGTCGCTAAAATGAAATCCATTTTTTGATCTCACGAACGAGGCTTTCTCATGGGAAGCGGATCTCATGTTTGTGATCAGCATGTCAAATAAGCCCAGGCCAAGTTTCAGCAAAATCTGATGCATTCTAAAATTTTTCCCATAGTACCGTAAACCTACCGTAATCCTCACATAAGATGGTAAAATTCGGCAAAAATGTGTGCATTAGAAGCTTACATCAAATCCCTTTATATTGCCAAAAAATGAATGCGCTACGTTCAAATAGACAAAAGTTATATAAAAAGTTGCATTACTTATGTGCCAACCTAATATGTATTGTATAGGTCATTTATAAAATTGTGACGATGGGTTTGATTGCAGTTGTGCCACAGGAGTGATACACTCATAAAAAAGGCATTACATCAAGCGCAGTTCGATAAGCCAGTGTCTAAAAAAACTGCTTGCTTGCTTGCTCGGGTGAACCTAATCCCGCCCACCTTCCCATGCTTTAGGATAGTCAGTTCAACAGTCAGAAGACTGTCTGGTCAAGTGTTACAGTCAGTTCACCAGAATGCCACTTATCCGAGGTTGAATTTTCGGGTGACCCGAGAGAAATAGTGTGCTTAAGAGGAGGAACAGACAAATTTTCTGTAAGTTGCTCGTGAGTAACTTACGGGAGAATTCAGCTGACGTACTACTGCGGTGCAAAATTCCCCAAAATTGCTCAATTTCGGCGGCCTAAATGGGAAAGGATCAAACAGCTGATAGCGGAGAGAAAAGCAAAAAAGCAGGATTTCTCTTTTTTCAGGGCTCGCTCGTTTCTCTCTCAAAAACTGCTTCAAACAAGGATTTATTGATTTGCTTTCATTTGTTATATTCCAACAATTTCGTTTTTCCGTGATATCTTCGTCAAAATATGATTGTTTTATTTTATCCATTTGTTTGCTTGGCGATATCCTTGATAGCGGTCGCCATCGATTTTTCCCGATGACGGCCGCTATCAAAGGTTATCCTGTGGTGGCACAAAAATTCGCCACTAGCCGGTTGCGAACCATGGACTTTCGCGTTAAAACCCTTTCACTTAGCCGTTCGACCAAACCACTCAAGGGGTAGATTTCTAGGACTAGGAAGTGATCCGCATCCTGATCAATAGCTCACTGGATGCCGGGCTGAGTCGTTCTACGTTCAACATAGGCCCGCCCCCAGCCGAGTTGGGCTGAACAGGGGTTTACTACGGGCCTTTATCTCAGAAAACGGCAACGAACAACAAGAAACAAGAATGCGTAATTTGAACAAGGCTTAACAACGAAACAGCAGGCTTTACCCTCTTTGACCTCTTCGGCCTCTTTGACCTCTTACTGGTTACTCTTTATCTAAAGGGGAGGTCCGCCTCTCTTCGACGGATTAGGCTCCCGCTAGCGCTTCCTCAGCGCACTCTGAGGCCTCCCCCTGACTCTCGATATTTATACCCTGCCGAAGGGGTCGACGCGGGCTTTTCTTCCCGCCACTGAAGATCGGTAGGTCGGTGATCCGCGCTCTCTGACACAAGTGACTTGTTCCTTCTTGTAAACAATCAAAATAATTTTTCAATCTTTCAAAACTCAAATTAGCCTTGTAAAAAAATTTTTGGGGCGTGGCTGCCACTTCCCTTTTTTCTAGATTTTGGTTATGAGCCGGCAAGGATTTTTAAAAGCCCCCAAAATTTTTTCCGATACGAGTATAGTACTGTTTCTATTGACGGGGCCAGATGGAGCCGGGTATGCCAACTAGTCATCTATAAGACTATCAAATAGTATCCCTCTAGCGTTTTTGCATCTTGCCTAGTTGGGGTGCTCTAGCAACAAATAAAAACATCATCTTACTGACAACCTAATCGCAGTGAAAGCTAGTATAAGAATATATTGTTGTCTCATTGTCAACAACGCTTGGTTGCAAGCACAACACCACGAAATTTGTTTTTGTGTTGAAGTTTTGTAGAGCATGTTGTCTCGTTTTCAGCAGCTTTTGATTTCGACAAATTCGCCGATACGATGAATCGATTGGAGCATGGGTTTGCGGTCACTATTCCACACTACGACAATCGAAGTAGTTCCAGGTTTAAAGCAATACGGGGTGTCCGTAAAGTATGTATACACTGTTTGATCGTTAATATCTCTTTTCCCAAGAAGTCTTTTGCTTTGCATTAGGTACCATTTTGTAGAACTGGCTTCAACTTAGATTTACAGTATGGAGCGAATCACCCAACTCTCTTCATTGATGCAGGATTACAGTGGAAACTTCAAAGAGGTTTTTAAGCTATGAAAGGCCATATTTTGCCTCAGAAAGGAAACAAAACAGCCTGAAAACTTTTACATTAGGCTAATTAGAGTTGCTGATTCTAACTGTAAAGTTCCCAACTTATTATGATGCTTCATTGAAGAGTTATGCCAGGTAAAAGGTAGCGGCCATTTTTTCAATGTTCCCAAAAAGTGCAGTTACACCGTTTAGAAAGCTTCACAATCTTGTGAATAGTTGAGTATTGAACTCAGCATCCGTAAAAACCCTATTACACAAATTTTCACATTTTTTGAAACAGCAGCTTTTTCCTCATTGACACCATATGTTTCAAGTTTCTACCGTAATCCTACAGTAATGAAGAGGGATGGGTGATTCGCTCCATACTGTAAATCTAAGTTGAAGCCAGCTCTACAAAACGGTACCTGAAGCAAGGCAAAAGACTTCTAGGGAAAGGAGATATTAACGATCAAAGAGTGTATACATACTTTACGGACACCCTGTATTTGTAATTTTCTGAACTGTTTTTGCGCGCTAAGAAACAATAGCAATTAGCAAGCCTGAGTAACGCAGAATTTCGTTCTTTGGGACTTTTGCACTGGAGCAGCCATCAGGGAAAGCGATAAATTGTACTCCACAGGTGATGTTCAACATTGAAACTACTTACGCGGAACTCTTTTAACTAGCGTTTGTCAACTTGTACTTATTCAAATGTCAGGAACCATCTTGGCGATTTCATTGCAGCAAATAAAGAAAGCTTTTTTTGCTAAGGTACATTCGGAATGACAGGAACAAAAGATAATGAAATGTACCTTAGTAAGCTTCATTCTGACAACCTCTAAATGACATTAATTTATTACGGAAAAATTCTTAATTACACCTTCAATTGAGTGAAGGGGTAAACTTAGCCGATTGAGAACACGCATCATTTTTCGCTCAAAATCTTCGTGTAGAGGGAGAATATGTGGTAGGGTGATTACAGAAAATCTTTGTTGCAATGGGGTTTAAGGGCCCAGAACACGAAATGAGCAAGGATCAAGATGCAAGAAAAAATTTGGAAAGTGATACTGTAGCTTTATATGTGCACGACCAAAGACCACAGATCTTACACCCAATGCTTTTTTTTTGCTTCCCACAGATATGCTTGGTCACGAAACATGTGCTTGCTGCGTTTTCCACTTTCCCCGTGTTCCAGAGGAGAAAATCCCAAATTGGAAGAATGACTTAGTATGCAATTGTCACGCGACAGTCACGCGCTCCTTGCTTGACAGAATATCAAATAATTGCTTGTCAAATAACCTTACTATATAATGCAGGCTAGCTACTAGGCAAGCTTGTTTTTCGTAATGTGCCACAGTACTTCTATTCTTCTTCTTAGATCGTAATTTGCAGTTCTCGGACCAGAAAATTATGGAATCATGTGCAGGTTGTGTACTTTTCTTTGATCTTCAACATTAACTTCGCGAGCAGTTCTCTTGAGGACTATAAGTGGTCAACCTTTTTGAGAGCTTTTCTATCAGGGTGAACGGTAAAAGATGGGGCATCTAGAGAATAACTGTAAATTTCTCAAGAAGAAGTAATTAAACTTTCCGATTTTGACACATATTAGAATATATTGTCCTTTCTCGGACAACACCCATATAAGGTCATCAACGTACTTAATAGTTCTTATATTTGCTGAAATGCAAAGTCAGTCACTTCGACAAATTATAAAGTGTGAGCAATATCTGCGCAGTGAAACATGTGAGACTACCCAAAACAACATTTTCTACAATGGGTGAAGCTACAGTCGAGTAGATTTCCTGCTTAATATAGTGTCCCTGCAGACGCGACAACGCTGGGGCGTCAATAAATGCCTTGCGAGTTCCCGAGCTAGTATTTTCCAGTGTTTTCCTTGCTTATTTCATGTTTTTTAGTTGATTCGTTGCTGATAAAGAGGAAAAGGGTAAGTTAAAGAGTAGTTTCTGTTTTCTGAGAAGTTCTATCATCGCATATTCACAGATATTCACGTGGAAGCATTTCGCGTCAGCTTCTTGTTTATTTTTTTGACATTTCCTTCTCTTGTGTCACTTCTTCTTTCAAACCTCCTCCTTCTTCTGAGGCGTTTCTTTGAACGCTAGTTGGCTTGTCTTGCAGCAACTTCGGCATTCATCCACAGGGAATAGCATTCTAATCAAGTACTTCATGTGATACAGACAATTAGTCAATCGTAAAAACCCACTAGCATTCAAAGAAGTACCTCACAAGAAGAAAGAGACATGAAGTGACAAAAAAAATAGATGAGAAGCTGACGCGAACTGCTTCCATGTGGATATCTGTGAATATGCGATGATAGAACTTCTCAGAAAACAGAAACTACTTTCTAAATTACCCTTTTCTTTTTTATCAGCAACGAATCACTGAAAAGCATAGAATAAGCAAAGAAAACACTGGAAAACACTAGCTCGGGAACTCGTCAGGCAATTATTGACGCCCCAGCGTTGTCGCGTCTGCAGGGACACTATATTAAGCAGGAAATCTACTCGACTGTACAGTCACTAAACCCACGATGGCTTGCTGGCTCAACCATTTTTCGGAACGAAGTGCGTGTTATTTGCTTCTTAGCAAGCGAATGCACGCTATATGGCTACCATCTGATAGAGCTCTTTATGCTCTATCCATCCATATGCAGTTTGCCTCAAACTTTGTCTGCCTCGGAAGATATAGGATGAAACATGATTTTTTGATTATTATTGCGCCAAAAAATCGCGACTTTTCAAGTATTTTGCTTTTTTATCCAGAATCAAAAGGAAATCCTACATTTTATATATAAAGCTGAATGTCTGTCTGTATGCATGTACGTATGTGAGGAGTAGAAATTTTTATTTCTGAACCGATTTGGTGCAAAATTTGAGCTACGGGGCTGGGGGTTAGCACAGGGGGTAATCGAGCATGCTGATTACAAATATGTTATTGACAGGGACGGGCGGAGCCGGGTTTGCCAACTAGTGTTCAATATATTGTTTGAAGAAGCATGAAAACTCTTCCAAAAGATATTCAGTTGCTTTATGACTTCACGCTGTATCAGCACAAGTAAGAGAGATGTTCAAAAAACCCTGTTCTTCACGGCGCCACGCGCAGGGTTGTGGGAGAGGAGCGTTAACGCGTCGTTACCAGAAAATAGGCGAAGCCTGGTTATGTAAGCGACGTTAGAGCTGCAGTCTGCTTGTTCTTGATCGAAACAAAAGATCTTAAAATGTAATAAAAATCAGGCTGCCCCATTTTTTACCGTTCACTCTAATATTAGAAGTAGAATCCGGGCAAGAAGTCGACTTTGAGATTTTGGAGAGCTTACCCGGGCATACTCGTCAAGCCGAATCAGAAAATTCTCACTGGAGAGAGCAAAAACTTTGAGGAAGGGCCAGGGTCAAGCGTGGGGTGGGCATGACACACCTGCTCAAACAATCGCCGTTGGCAGGCGGTCAGCAGATTTTTGGGGCGTAGCCAAACCTTCACGGGAGGCGCCTTCTTCGCAGATAATCGCCGGGGCAGGCGGTCCGCAAACTCGCGCTTTTCTACAAGCGGTCAGCAGAATTTTGAGGCGTGGCCAAACCTTCAGCGAGCAGTACTTCCTTTGCTGTTTAATGTTTTGCCAGCGGGCAGCGACACAGAATTTTCTGCACGCGCTCGTCAAATAATCTCTTTCAGCAAACACAGACCGAACTTTCAGCAGGCGCTCGGACTCTTTTTACGCAGTTTCGGGCTTACGTCGCGCACAGGTAGGACTCTGTGTGGCAGAGGTTTCACCGTTGGTTTAATTACTCAAGTTTGAGGTACTTTCTCTCAGCGGAAAGTTCCTGGGGGCTGCGCGGCCCTCCACAAAGGACCGTGCGGCCCTCGAAAATTTTGCCTATTTTCGCGGAAAGTCCGCGAGAATGCGGCCAGTGCGCTGCAACGTATATGCAGGAAAACCGCGATTGTTCTCCGAGCGTTCATTTAAAAATTGGTCAACATTCTTCCAAATTTCTGCAAGCGGACCGCAAGAAATCAGCGAACTATTTTTCCGGTGCCCGCCCGCACACACAAATCGCATGGCCGCCTGCCCCTGGCGATTATCTAAGTTTCGGTCTCATTTTCTGCCAGCGGGCAGCAATACAGCACTTTTTGCAAGCGCTCGGCAAATAATTTCTTTCAGCGAGCGCTGGCCAGCCTTCAGAAAATCGCTGGGGGCAGGCGGGCACCGGAAAAATAGATTGCTGATTTCTCGCACCCCGCTCGCGGATTTTTTGCAAAGCCAGGACTTTTCGGAAGACCGCTTGCTGAGTCAGCGGATTTTTGAGAGACCGCCTGTTGAATTTTTTTTCGCTCTTATCTTTTGCAGATATATTGCTGAATCTCTGAGAAATCGAGAACTCAGCAAGCGGTCTTCCGAAAAGTCCTGATTGCTTTCCAAAAAATCCGCGAGCGGGGTGCGAGAGATCAGCAATCTATTTTTCCGGTGCCCGCCTGCCCCCGGCGATTGTCTGAGTAGGCGCTCGGACTCTTTTTACACAGTTGTCGCGGATTCGCGACTTCCTTCAAAGGAGGCCGCCGCCGCGCTGCGAAGGGTAGCAAGTAGCATTAAACAGGTAAAGTCACCACAATGTATCATATCCTATCCCGGATGGGACCCCTGGCTCCCCCGCCGAGGCAGGAGAGCCTTGATACCACTGACGTTGGAAGCTGGGGTCAATCCGCGACAACAGTCTCGGGCGTACGCCGAATAAAGGTGAGACTCTATGTGGCAGAGGTGTCATTGATGGTTTAAACGCTGTGCTCGCGCTGCTCCCGCCTTCCCACCGCTACTGCCGCAGCTTTCAAATCAGTTGTGAATTTCGTTACCTGGTGAGCGGTCGATGCAGCGCCGTCTCCAACTCACGCGTCGTCTACATCCAACACGCCACGGAGGACAGGCAACCCCGCAGCGAAGTAAATCCGTGCGCGCTCGCGCCTGGTACGCCGGCCATACCGCCACAGGGGTTTCCGATATTGTCGGTCCCTAGGTTAACATCGGTCTGGTTGTGCTCCACCTTTGTGTTTGAGTTTAGGGATTTGTTGTGGATAAATGGTGGGCATTTTACATGTGTGATTTATTTTGATGCGGTGAGCCTCAGCTTGGCTGGGGCTCCGTGGATATCTTGTGTCATCATGTTCATGTGTATTTTATAATCATGCCTAGTGGGATAGATCTATTGGAAGGCTGGCACGATACCGGTTAAGTGCCTTGGTTGTATGTACATGCCCCAACTGTAGACAGCTGGGAGTAGTCGAGTTGCAGGTGTCGAGTAACTACTAAGTAGGCTGGTGGCAAGGGTCTCTATGTGTGCGTGGCAGGTTTATGTGGCAGGCGCAATTAGCATTAACACAGGTAAAGCCACCACGATGTGCGCTGCATCCTATCCCGGATGGGACCCCTAAAAGCCTTCGCCGATGCAGGAGAGCCTTGATATTACTGACGTTGGGAGCTGGGGGCCCAATCCGCGACAACAGTCTTGGGTGTACGCCGAGAAAAGGTGAGACTCTATGTGGCAGAGGTGTCATCGATGGTTTAATTACCCGGGTTTGGGTTACCTTCTTTCAACGGAAGTACCCTGGGCAGTGCGGTCTTTCACAAAGGACCGTGCGGCCCCCAACACTTTTGCATATTCTCGCGGAAAGTCCGCGAGAATGCAGCCACTGGGCCGCAACTTATCCACAGAAAGACCGCGATAGTTCTCCGAGTGTTTGCCTAATTGTAAGAATTGGTCAAAATTATTACGAATTTCAGCAAGCGGACCGCAAAAAATCAGCGAACTATTTTTCCGGTGCTCGCTTGCTGCAAATTCTCATGGCCGCCTGCCCTCGGCGATTATTTTTGTGGGAGGGGGGGGGGGGAGTATCGTTTTGAAGGATCAGGAAGTTGGGTCGTTATTGTTATCAAGGTGATTCTGATGTTAACGATTGTTAACGATAACATGATATTCGTTAACAATGTCAGATAAGCCCATTATGCAAACTACTAGCACACTGATGCCTTAATCCACCATCGTATACGTATAGTAAGCATAAGAAAAGATTTAAAAGCATTGTTTTCGTTATTCGCATGTCGAATAACCCCCTGTGGGCCAAGTTTCAGCGAAATTTGAGGCTTCCAAATTTGGGCCACCCAAATAGTAATATGGTCATTTTCAAACATGCTACTTTTGTTTCAAAGGTAAGTCAACCATTTCTTTTTGCACTTGGTACAAGGGACTACTACTGTTTTGCTCACATAGGAATCCTAAGTTAGATAAACTTGAAAGTAAAGATTCAAAAGCAAGCTATTAGTTTGTTCCGTTTTTCGCTTATATCTCAAAATAAAAAAAACCAATCAGGCTCAAATCACTTTAGTCTAATTACGAGCCTCAGAATATCGAACATATACGCTCCTGTCGCCTCCCTTGCGAGGCAACTGGTAGCGCGGACTTAGGGTGCCTTCACACCGCGCCGGCAGCCGCCTCTAGCAGCCCGTAGCAGCCCATAGCAGCCGCCAGCAGCCCGTAGCCGCCGCTGGCCGCTTCTGTCATAAAAGCCAAAATCATCAAATTCTTACCACTTTGAGTGCGCCCGCCCATCTCTCACGCTTCTTTCTTCTCGTTGCGGCTAATGTACAGTTCCACTTTCACCATTATGGAGTTATTCAAGATAAGCCCCGGCCAAGGAATATGATTGAAGCAGAACCACGCATAAAAATAAACACTGCAGAAATTTGACGCATCCAAAGTCGAAATGTGGTTCAACTGCGAGAGGAAAGCTGAGCACCAATGGGATAAACCATTGTACGGCAACAAGATAATAACAACAATGGACACAAATGTGATATATGAGATCGAATTCCGACAACAGGAAGGGAAAAGCATGGAAGATGGAAAGCGTGGGCAGTTGCACTTAAAGTAGCAAGAATTTGGTGATCTTGCACTTAAATGACAAAAGCGGCCAGCGGCGGCTACGGGTTGCTGGCGGCTGCTACGGGCTGCTACTGGCTGCCAGCGGCTGCTACGGGCTGCTAGCGGTGGCTGCCGGCGCGGTATGAAGGCACCCTTAGCTTTCCGTAACCCAATATACCCAATCGCCGTATTTTCTGTTTGCATAGACAAGGAGAAACCATTATATCTAACCCTAGAAGAAACAATATCAAATGAAATTCTTGCTGTTCAAAGAAGAAGGTCAAACAGTAGCAACGATATAAACGCTGGTATTTGAAAGTTCGAAGGTAAGTTAATGGGGGGGGGGGGGCACAACTCCTGAAAGGTGTGGCAGCCATAGCCTTTCTGGGGTTGGGCCACATTCCATTAACCTAGAATGTTAGGGGACAAATTATAAATAGTTTGATAGCCAAAATCTCGTGATTTTTATGGAACTGGTCAAAGCTAGCTTCGTTTTTATTGTTCGAGTAATAGTTGTTGGAAACACAAATTCTGCGTACGAAGAATGGGACGTAGGAGATTTTGGCTGGCTTCTAATTCCATAGTTTGAGGTTATTTAGTGCAGATAATTCATTATATAGGTAAATATGAAGTAGTGCTTTGCACTAAGGGCGAAAAGAGGTAGCTAATTCGCTTTTAAGATATAGTCGATCATTTTTGAAAATTACCACTTTACTTGGATGACTCAATATTGGATACCCTCAGAATTCGCTAAAACTTGGCCCACAAGGGTTATTTCACACGATAATTGCGAATATGTTACTGTCATGCTTGGTAAAGCCTGTCATGCCTGCAGTAGGAGACGAAAATGCTGGGAGGAGGTATCGAGACGGAACTTTGGGAGGGGGGGGGTGGGCGTATTCGGCGGTGTGTGCCGCAACTTTTGCTCGACCGTGGGAAGGGCTCTAAGGCCCTGGCCAGACTTCGCTCAAAAGCACCCAAAAGCGCTCAAAAGCGCCCAAAAGCGCTCAAAAGCGCGCAGAAGCGCCCAAATTTCTCTGTGTCTCTTCACTTTCTCGTGTGAGGAGAGATGAGAGAGAGTGAGGAGAGGTTAGAGAAGTTTGAGCGTTTTTGCACGCTTTTGGACGCTTTTAAGCGAAGTCTGGCCAGGGCCTAACGCAGGAGGAGATTCAGCAGATGGGAGAGGTCTTTTCACTGTGAATTTACTCTATCAATTTCCGGAACGATCTACTCGAATCCGTTAGCCGCTCCGACATCGCCACCGGCCACGTGCGAACGCGTGACTTGAAATCGGAACCTTGAAAATAGCTTCGGATGCTAGAAGCGTGAATTCACAATGGGTAGACCCCGCCCACCTGGAGATTTCCCTGCTGCGATAGAGCCTTCCGCCGTTTTCCAGTGTAGAAACTTGGATTTTTCCGCTCTCCAGTGTAGAAATTCGGATTCAGTCTGGCGAATATGCTTGGATAAGCACAAAATTTCAAAACTTTTTGCCTCTATTGCTGTTTGGTTCTTGAAAAACTGCGTTGGAGGGAGAGTGCGCACTTATTGTCTACTTCGACAATGCTGTTTGCTCGCCGCGCTGTTATCAAGGCAATTGCTTCTAATTAGATTCTACGTAGCCCACACTAGAGTATCGATGAATGCGTGAATTCCATATCCTGAGCTTACTCGCGAACAATCATAGTGAAATTTGATGCGTGTATCTGCTATACGAACAAGATGAAGGTACAGAGCAATGCGAGTGCATAGTCCAGCTGCAGTCTTTCCAGCGTGACTTTTAAACAAGACTTTAAACAGCAAAGACACAGTTTTTGGTAAATCAATGCATGAAAGCCTAGCTGTACTGCTCGGAATTTTAGTAGCCTCAGCTTGTTTTTTCTGCTTATTGCAGTCAGTATTCTTTTCTACAAAATTATGCGCTTGATTAGAGAATGTCTATGTACATCATCCAAACTACTAAAAAAGTGACATGTTTATAGTCAATTTAGAATTGGCACACTCACAATCGAACCAGCTGATGTCATCATAGTCGAAGGCATTTTGGTCTTCTATGATGAGCGGATTCGAGAAAAATTTGCTATGAAGCTTTTCGTAGATGCCGATGCAGATGTTCGTCTTGCTCGAAGAGGTGCTTGCTTGCTCAATAAAGTCTGTAATACGTTTAAAGAAAGCTTTTGAAGTTCGAAGGGACACGGTGGAGAGGAACATGCCATTGTCACTAGTACTAACGCAGTATACTACAATGGTAAGTGTACAAAAAACCAAGATTTGACTGCAGTTTTTGCCACATTAAAGTTTTGTATGAGTTTGGATAAGGAAGCCACGCTTTTACCCAAATATTCTGATAGACGATCTTATAGTAAGAGTAGTAGAATTTTTCACTTTTACCAGTGTACTCCTCGTGAGCCCACGAGTATTCTGAACACATTGGCCCGTAGTAAACCCCGTTCAGTAAATCTGCCTTGAGACGGACCTGAGTTGATCGTATGGCGTTTCGGTCTAGCATTCCGCGAGCTATTGATCTAGATGCGTATCGCTTTTCAGGTGTAAAAATCTTGTGCGCTATCAAAGAGGAAACACCTACACTTATTGTTTAGGTTTGGTCAAACAGGTATGTGACTAGTACTCAGCCCGCACGTCCGTGGTTCGACGCCGGACAGTGGCGGATTTTTGCGCATCACTGAGCAATATTTGATAGCGGCCACTATCGAAGATAATCGATGACGGCTGCTATCAAGGAATCCACAAACCAAATAAATGCACAAAACAAAACTGCGTTTTTTAACCAAAATTTCATCAAAAATTGAGGAAGAGGGACAAAATCGAATGGAAATAAATAAAGAGATTGTCGCTCTGAGTAGCTTTCGTAGAAATAACCTAAGCAAGCTCTGCAAAAAGGAAAAAACCTTTTCCTCCGTTGCCGAAATCAGCTGTTCATTGATCCTTTCCTTTTTGGGCACCGGTATTGTGCAGTTCTTGTAATGCAGCAATACGTCAAGTACGATGTCCCGTAAGTCACTCACAAGCAACTTACGGGATTTTTCTCTGCGTCTCATCCCTTGCACACTATTTCAAATTTTTCCATTGTATTGGAAAGGCGTAAGGTGTTATCCATCGATTTTTTTGTAGTTGTTCGTCAAGTAGAAACGTTGATGACTTTTTATGAGTAATGATCCAGCTGTTTTCATTAACTTGGCATTAACTTGTGCAGGTAAGGGTGATTGTTCCCCCGTCTGCAATTGCGGGATGGTTTTCTCGATTTCTTTCCTTCTCTGATGAGGTAGGCCTTGCAGAACTTTCATTAGGAATAAAAGAACCCATGCAGCTGTTCTTTTTGCCGACGTAAAGGTGTTAAATCTATGTAGCTCCAGAAATTCTCCTGAAATTTCTGTGTCTTTGTCAACGATGGAGTTTATCACCACGATTTCTTCATTCTTTATGGTGACAGCGAAATCCATCGTTGGCCATTCCGAAGTATGTTTCATGAAAAACTGCGGACCTTTCCACCACATATGGTTTTGAATTTGATCTTTAGTCAGTCCTCGCGTTCCTGCATCAGCTGGATTTTCGTCCGTAGGAACATATTTGAAGTCTACTATGACTTTGGCTTCATGCAGGACATCCAAAATCCTGTATACTTCCGCAATCCTGTTGTTCACAAGGACTCCTGCTCCTTTCCCTCAGCCGTAGAAATCCAGTGCAGGGCAATTCTTGAGTCCGACAGAATATATATATCTTTGAAATGTGTATTTTCGTCTTTCCCTAGGCGCTGAAGATTGATAAGGCTAGTCTGACCGCCATTGTAAGTGCGTTCATTTCTATCTTTGGATGCTGGTTTTTCCTTGTATCGACGGAAATTTACACTTAGCGGCAGTCAGGCTGGCCGTATTTTCATCAAAAAGGTAGGCGCAAGTAGCCATCGCAATTTCACTGGCATTTGAGAAAATGGCTAGTTTTGCGTTTTGTGGGACTTTCCTTGGGAAGGTTTTGTGAAAACCGTGCGCTTGTTGCTTAAGGATATCCCATTCTTGCATCAAGGAAGTGGGAAGAACCGTGTCCCAATCAAACTTTTTTCTCCACCAATCCTGCTGAAATTTTTTTGATCTTGTCAGAAGCGGCGTGAGCCATCCAAAAGGGTCATAGATTGAAGCGATTCGCCGCGCCACAATTCTTTTGGTAAGAGTTTTGGAAGGTGATATATCGCATTGTATTGAGAGCTGATCTGTTTTGGTTTCCCAAGTAATGTCTAGGAGTTTCGGCGTGTCGTTTTTAGCGCAAGCGCCTGCTGGTAAACTTTTCATCAAAGAATTATCACTGGATGCGAATTTTCGCAGGTTCATGTTCATCTCTTTGAAAATTTCGCGCGCTTTCAGTGCCTTTTTCTTTGCTTCTTCTGGTGTACCCGCTGACAAGATGAGGTTATCGACATATAGGTTTTCCCTAATTTCTTTTGATAGTTCTTTATCTCTGTTTGAATTCTCCAAATGAAACTGGATGGTTCTTCCCAAAAGGAAAGGTGACACGTTTAGTCCAAATGTAACCCTGGTAAAGCGCATAGTTTTGATATTATCGCCTTCCGCAGGAAGAGTTATAAGCTCCTGCAAGACGAAGGCGTTCGGTTCGAGGTACGACGTGGCTGTGACGCGGCTGTGTCTCGGCTGTGACGCAGCCATGTCGCAGCCGCGTTGCGCATTGAATCGACCGCCTTCGTCGTGCAGGAGCTTATACATCATGCACCCGAAAAACCTTGTAACGTCTCTATCGATTTCATGATGGTACTTATAGAAAAGCCTTTTCTACGTCGTTTGTGATTGCAAATTTTGGGGTTCAAAAGCGGAGAACCATGCCAAATAAATCCGCTAATATAAGTGGACCCTGGTGTAGGATATCGTTCAACGAGGGACACTGCTTATAGTGCGAGGAAGCGTCGAATAAGATTGGACTTTCGTGGTTTCTTCCTTCGGTGTGATTACCGGTTGGTGCGGTATGTAATGAAGTAGTCCTTGTGCGGGTAAAGAGTTAGGAATCACTTCGATTATGTTTTTCTCTAGTTGATCTTGCAAAATCTTTTCATACTCCTAAAGCATGTTGGGTTTGAGCCTTATTGAATTCAGGGCACTAGTTAGTCTCTTCCATGCGATCGCTTCTTTAGTTAGTAGTGGTGGGTGATGATCTTTGAAAGGGAAACGCACGTAGTACCCATAATCCCTTCTTTGTATGGTTTTGTCAAAAAATTCCTTTACTTTCTTATTTACCGCCGCTTTTTCAGCATTTTTTGTGCCGGTAAATTCGCACACCCCTGATGAATCTATTGTCCAATATCTGTCCCATTGCTTTGACTCATCGTCAAAATTTATCAGCGTGTTAATGACCGCCTCTGCTTGAGTCTCGCTTTGTGTTATCTGAAAACCTTCAGGATGTTGTTTACCGCACAGTAAGTATCCTAATTTGCAAGGGATTAGTTGTAATCCTGATGGCAGCGAGAATTTTGGGTTGGGTGAATCCAAAAAGTTCCACAACTGGTCGCATTCCAAGAGTATTTGCGGATGGATCTCCTCGTTCCACGAGGTTTTTGACAGGTTGAGGTTATGGCTAGCGATGAACTGTTTATCTGCTTCAGAGAGATGGGCCCTTTTTCCTTTTGTTACGAGGATTGGCGTAGCGCATAATTGGACTTTGTGTTTCTTGTTTTGTCGGTCCCACAATTCTAACGTGGTGATCCCGCACCTACTCAGACAATCGCCGGGGGCAGGCGGGCACCGGAAAAATAGATTGCTGATCTCTCGCACCCCGCTCGCGGATTTTTTGGAAAGCAATCAGGACTTTTCGGAAGACCGCTTGCTGAGTTCTCGATTCCTTAGAGAATCAGCAATATATCTGCAAAAGATAAGAGCGAAAAAAAATTCAACAGGCGGTCTCTCAGAAATCCGCTGACTCAGCAAGCGCTCTTCCGAAAAGTCCTGATTGCTTTGCAAAAAATCCGCGAGCGGGGTGCGAGAAATCAGCTATCTATTTTTCCGGTGCCCGCCTGCCCCCAGCGATTGTCTGAGTAGTTGATTTGGGTTCCGCGCTCCCAAACTTATACATCAATAGCTCTTGTGAACGTGGGCTCTCCAGCCCCAAGTCCTTCGCTAAAGCCAGTAAGATAAAAGATTTATCTGCGCCTGTGTCAAACAAGATTTCAATTTCTTTCCAAATCTTATGCTTTTCATCCTTTACCCTCGCTGAACCCGTCAATAGTAAGACCGTTCCGTGGAATTTGATTCTAATTCTTGGTTATGGAACACTGTTACTTTATGTTCCTCTTCTACTTTGTTTTCCATTTGTGTGCCCTGTCCTTGTGCGCTTTCGCAATCCAATGTGCTTACGGGGTGCGCTGCCATTACTGTAGGTTTTGTTCTTTGAGCTCTAATTTGTTTGGCTCTGACATTCTGTGTTTAAACTGTTGGTCTTTCGGCTTTTCCCTTGGAAAAATTGCTCGCCTATCACCATTTCCCATCTCTTTTCGCGCTCTCACCGGGCAAATTGTATGATGGTGTTTTTTTCCTTACATAGTTTACAGCTTAATCCTGTGCATTGCTTTGAGGAGTGTCCCTCTTTTGCGCAATTTTAGCAGCGTTTGTTTTCTTCAAAGAACTTGCGGCGCTGTTCTAGCGTCGTGTACTTCAAACAAAACATCGAGCGATGCCATGTCGGTTTGCAAAACAAACAAGCTTGAGTCGCTGGAACTTAATTTGATAATATTGTTCGGACTTTATCAACCTTTGTACTCAATTTTCTGTTACCATTTCGTCTATGCGCTCTTCTTGAGTGATTTGTTTGTCTCTTTTAAGAGCTCACTAATATCCCAGTCCTCATCTGTTTTCCACTTTTCCATTTTCTGCTCTAGGATTTTCCGTTGTAGAAGGAAGTGAATTTTGAGAGTAGTTTTTGTGAAGTGAAAGGGCCTTTTAGTTCTACGCCTTTCTTTTTAAGTTGTGTTGTTATAGGTATGAGATGTTCTAGCAACTTCCTCTGCGCTTGAATAGTTTGTTTTCCACTTTTGCGCTCTCCAGGTGATGCTGTAGACTTGAAATAGTTTTGAAATCATCCCCATACTTAATTTGGAGAAGTTCAACTGCGTGGTCATAATTATCCTCAGAGACGGGGTAGCGCTGTATCGTTTCGCGTGCTTCCCCCCGAAGAGCGCTTATAGTCGTCCTCACCCCACTAGTCGGTCGGTGGTCGAACTTGAATTCGAACTGG